AAAAGATATACTAGCGAGTCACAGCTAGTGTGTATAAAAAAACTAAATTACGGTTCGGTTTAAAATAGTGAATAATATAATTGTTACTGTACTAAAATGCAGTCAAATTACGACAAAACTAATTATAAAAAAAAATAATCTGTGTTACGTTATAGTTTCTAATAAAGTAATTTTTTATTCACACATTCTCACGCCAATGTTTTTCGTACAGTAAGTAAACTCCAATAGCGTACAACACGGAAATCTCGCTTTAAACGTTTAATGTTGGTTTTGGTATTATATGTAGATTATTTTAATTGTCGCATATAATGAAATCTGTTTACTTATAATATTTTGAAATGCACGCGTGCTCGAAACCAAATATTTATACGGTATGGTAAAATCGTAGTGTATATTTTGTAAAGAAATTGTAATAGGTATAACCTAAGTTTATAATAATAGTAGTTCTTCAGGGCGAGTACGGTTGTAGCCCTAATAGCGGATTGAATGAAAACATGTTTTCTTTTAAATGAAAACAAAATCGATTTTTTAAATTTTTTACTTACACAGCTTTTCCTCGTTACGCTATAGAAAATTTTCAGTGTTGCTACACTATACGAGTTAACCATAAATATAGAGAATTTGTAATAATTTATGTAAAATAAAAAGTGATATATCATTTACACGCTATAATCGCTCAAAGTGATTGTGTTGATCACTTTAACTGTAAAAATAATGAAGAATTTATTAACAATAAATTCAAACAAGTTAAGTAAATTCCGTCATTTTTACAATTAAAATAAGGTCGTTTTTGCTTAGAATTAGACGATAATTCTCCTCAATGTGGGAAATTATTATATCTTAACACCTAAATTCTTCAAATCCCGCCAAGATGCCGTGCCAACGCGCCGATCACTGGAGCACAATGAAAGTATAGTTTATTATATTTATATAAGTATAAAGTAAATAAATGGAAGTCTAATGAGGAGAGAAAGGCACGCAAAGTGTATTTACATATGTGCTACGGTTGTTGGACGTTGGCATGGCAGTGCTTATGTATTAATACAGTCGTCCCAAGAAAAAAAATGGATGACGTCATTGTAACGAAAAATGGGAATGAAAAGTAATGAATGACGCGGTTTTGTTAAGGACTTTACAGATGCATACGCTCCGAATCGCAACCGATCGGTAAAGATGTTTACGTTTTCAGATACTATAATAATTGTAGACAAAAGATACGTCGAATTCTTTATCTATTACCACAAGGAAGAAATTGTTATTGTTATTCTGAAATATTAAATATTAATTAAATAAATAACGACTCAGATGACAATTACAGAGTATTACAGACTGATTATTATATTATAATTTTAGTTCATTTGTCATTATAATTTTTATAAATTCGAATCTTTGAGACCATTTGAAAGTAAGAAATTTCATTATCATCCACAAAAATAACGGAATAATGTATTAGATTATTAAATGCATTATTATCTATTCGTATAAAAACCTAACAAAATATAATATTTTTATATTTTTTAATTGATTTTTATATTTATTTATATATAGACAACTAAACAGTTTGGTACACCACTTTTTCTTCTTTTCGAGACGACTGTACTGTAACTATATGTGAAATCTATGTATAAAATATCGCTAATTCAATGCATTACATCATTCATTATCATATTGCAAGTGACAAGATCTCTATTTCGTAAAATACATGAGATATGACGTGTTCAATTGAAATAATGTAGTCAAAACAGTCTCTGAAATATAATTATAATCTCTCACATATCTATATAGTTGCAAACAAGTGAATATATTTATACATACAATTAGAAAAAATCATGATCCTACCACGTTTAAGTTTTAGTACTTCAACCGCCATCACAGATAAACTGCCTAAATATCGGGAACTCAATAAAAAATAATAAAACGTGGTAAGGTCCCGTGATTGTTCCTAACTGACAAATAATGACCGCATCATATTAAAAAAAAAAAAATTATTCAAAATGTAATTCGATTTTTGTAATGCGATGCGAACATGTGAAGTGTAATTCGACTAATAACTGCCTTTACACGACACGTTTTTCACGCGCGGTATAGCCAGCGCGCGCAATGTGAGTTATTGTATTTTACTATATTTTGTGTTCACTCTTTCACATGTGATAGCGCGTATGATTGAAGTCATTTCACTTTCCTTTAAAATTAAATTTTATTACACAGATTTTATTTTCCAAAGACAATTATTTAAGAGCAGTTATAATTACAAAGTTATTGATAAGTTATAATAATCATTAACTTTATAATTATGACTACTCTAAAGTCCTGTGTCCATCATTTTGCTATGATAATGAATTATTACAAAAAGGCGCTAAAGTGCTCACGCAGGAGAGCGCAGTCTTTCTCGTTCTCTTTGCCTACATTTACATGCTTATTCTTTCCTGCGTGAAAGCCGATTCCCTCGTAAAAGAGAGTACGTGTAAAGGCAGTTAATGCATAAGGTGATCACTCGTTGCTTGCGATGGGTAGAATGCAGGTTGTTATTTATTCAATTTTACAAGTATTAATGCAGTAATGTACAGCATCTTAACGCATTTTATGGTAAACTTCGATCGTTAAATTATATGGATGCGTCTAGTAGTACCTTAAGCTTTTTTTGTTAAATAACATACCGCATTAGACCGTGCGCATGCATTGCGATGCTACCTTTATACCACAGTTGCATACAAAATTGTCTACTAGGCAAGCTTCATTGTTTATGGTATTGTTTATTGTGGCATATACACTCTGGTAGATACTAGAAGCTGAAATTAATTACATGTAATTTAAGTGTAATATGGTAAGTAATAAATACATTCTGTAATGCAAAATTGCAAGGCCTATATTCCATTTGTCGTACAACAAAAAATAAGTTTATTTTAATTAAAACCCATTCATTGGGGTACCCAAATAAAGCGACTAAAGTTAGAATTCCGTATCTCCGAAGAGTGTAGGGCTAAGCAATCAAATGCACCAAACGGAGTCCTATTCGGACAACCTGACCGCTAATCGGATGTATACGAGCAGCCTAATTTAAACTTACTTATTGATATGTACTGTTATAATTCTAAAGTATGAACGTAAATCATAAAATGACATTGAATAAGAAGCAAATCAGCTACCATTTAAGAAACTGGTTACCAGAAGCTTGATTATATAACTCTGTTAATAACAATTCTAACTTGAAACAAATTGTAGTCTATATTTGATTTATGTTTGTTGCAATTAAAATATACATCTTATTTTATAGATGCCAGTCTTGAATGGTTCGTAGAAAGTCGCAAAAGCGTAAATTTTTATATTTAAAAATTTTGAATTATCATAAATGTATCTTGTTTTTGCTTATATCTGGTAATAATTTAATTAAATAATATATTCGTTCATAAAGTAAGTGATATTGGGTTTATGTATGCATACATTTTAATGAAGCAAAGCCTAATATATTTCCTAAATGTTAAAACTAAATTTTTAGTTACAGGAACCTGTTACTAATTTTGATGATCAGTTCTATGTGAAATAAATAACAACAGATAACAGATCAAAATATTTGCGGTTCAAGATGAATGGATTTTAAATAATTTAGTAGTTATTTGTATTATTGCTGTGCTACTAATCCCAAGATCATTTCTGGAACTACAATTATCCAGGTGCACCAGAGAGAGAGAGAATATTTTTTATGACTACTGAAAATTCCATTCCAAAACATTCTGGAATAAGTGGAACAGTTACTGGAACAGTTGTGAATGAAGTTATTATTGGCAGTATAGATTGTATCAATAGCATGGCTGATTTAGAGGTTGCTAAATATATTGGATGTATGTAAACAAGCAATGTATGTAAAAATGTGTCACAGACTAAAATCTATTCTCCCCAGAGGGCACAGGTGGAGGTTTGAACATCGACTAAAGCTAGTTCGATCCCCATTGGAATGGGCCAGAGAATCGATTGGAAGGGAATAGATCGTGTTCACAGAACCGACGAGCATCAATATAAGTAAGTAAGTACGGTCACACAGTATTCTGTTGTGTTGGACGATTTCATTAGGTACTCCCATTCTATTGGCGTATGTCTATTGCTACGTCTCTTTGTAAATGCGTCATTTAGATCTTGGTTGCATAGGATAATCGTGCGACTGAACCGAAGAGTGTGTGGCCACTCTAAATTATTTGCAACAACAATGCTAAACCAGCCAAAATACTTCAATAACTTTGCTCCATTGTAATATGTAAGCGAGAACTTCACAAGAAGCATTCAACACAAAGCCAAAGCTTGAACTGTTACAAAATAAATATTTACATCCACTAAGACTAATTGTGTAACATTGCATTGCGTGAGATTACCTATCAAAATCGACTATCAATTTAAAATATTTGGATAAATTTCTCAATTATAATATACAATTCTAAAATATCTACAGAGAATGGAGTGACCCTGTTTTTACAAGACCTTAGAGTAACAGAGGTCTTAAGGCTCATTTACACGATGCGATTTTATTTAATTAATATATTGTATCGTGTAAACGAGACCATAGTAGCCTAAACCACTGAGCGAGGTATTACAAAGGATATTAGAAAATTAATTTGGTAACAAGTAATACAGGTGTGTTTATAATTAATTTTCTAAAAGAAATTGTACAACGAAATAATTTTTCATTGTGAATATCATAATTTCAATAAATTTAACAAATTTCAAAACTATGAAATATAAATGAAATGATAATATTTCAAATTAAAAAGTCGATTATTTTAATGCCGTCTTTGACGACCAATACTAAAATAATAAAATATAAAACAATAATAAAATACAGAGTAACGAGTAGTACAGAACTAAACCAACAAATTAATTTACATTAATACTTTTGAATTTCGTTAAATTTAAATTGAACTTTCTGAAATTATAATTGTCTATAAACTTATGCATAAAAAAAGAAAACAGTTCATGGACGAATAGCGAAACTTAAACATTGCACAAAGGAATCACTGAGTTGCTTCAGCGGTGTGGTAATGAGATGGGTGGTATCGCCAAACCTGAGGCGGGGAGTATTCGACTGGAACCTCTTGAGCTGCTCCCCCGGCCCCCCCCATCAGCACCGTCTGCCTCGGCATCTCGGAAGGTTGGGTCTGCTGCATTCTCTCCTGTTCCGTCGACCCACTAGACCCCCCTGGACTTGGTCCGGGAACGATACTAGGCGACCTTCTATCCTGCCCCATAACTGGGCTCATATATCTTCCGCTACTATCTACATAAGTGTATTCTCTAGATGGTGGCCTATGATAAGTTGGAGCCACTTCGTAACCAGGTGGAGGGGCAGGTTCCAGGAAGCCATTGGGCGCGTAAGGAGTGTAATGGTAAGAAAGAGGTTTATACTGATGGAAGAGGTTGTCGGCTGCTAGAAATCTGTCATCTAGAGGTGGTGGAGCATAATGTAATGCTGGTGCAGGGGGATATTCTCCATAAGGTGCTGTATATGCTCCATTTAGGTTGGTGTACGCAGCAGCAACTGCATCTGCTGCTAAATATTCTACAGGCGGAGGAGCAGGCGTAGTTGGCATTCGTCTTTTGTTTCGACAAGTTGAAAGAAAGTCCCTTAATTGAGTCTTGTATCTCCTGGCAGCTCTAGGCGGTGTGGTCACATTGGATTCGCAGCCGGATAGCTGTTCCGTTTCTGAGAAGTATAAGCTAGTGAGACCTGTATCTAGGTAGCTGACTTTGAAGTCCATTGTTCTTTTGCCCAATAAATCTCTGCCTTCTTCCTCCCTGAAAGAAACATAGGTAAATTTTTATTTTTGTGTCAATTTTATGTTTTTTAAAGTACATATTTTATTTATCATATTTAAAGTACATAATTTAATGAGCTCTAAAGCTGCATTTTAGATTATGCTTTTCGTTCGTCGCAAGTTCGATTTCTTGACGGTGCAAACATGTATGAGTCTCATTGCTTATATGTATTTATGGGTCCTAGTGTTCTCACGTGTGAATTTAGAATAAATTAATTATTTATATCAATTGTATGGTACCCATAACATTTGGTCTACTTTGCTCGGGTCTAGATGGCATTGTGTGTAATTCACACAATGCCATCCAGGATAATTCCTGGATCGTTATTATTATTATATAAGCACCAGTAATTACATATTAGTGGTGTAGTGTACTCACATTAGAGGTCTGTGTGTGCTAATGACGAAGTCAGGCTTGGAGTTCTTGTAGACGAGTCGTGATGAGGTCTGCAGCCATTGCCATTGACCATCCTTCGTCTGGAAGCGATACGCGATCATACCGGAAGCACCTGTTTTCAATACTGAAAAGATAAAAAATACATTACAGTGCTGCAGTGCCACGCTGCATCTGTACGGCACCAGCTGAGTGGACGGCCTTTCAGCTCATAGCGCGATATTAATTTTTAAGTTTTCTATATTATTATTATTATTTACATTTTCTCAGCTTTTGCTGGATTTTTTTACTATATTTTTATTACTTTATTACATTTTGTTACGTTATATGATACTTAAAGATAACAAACAACTCAATATAATTTTAGCATACGATTTCGTTTTTTTTTATTTATCTCAGAATAGAATAGAAAATCATTTACTCAAATAAACTTAATTTAAGCACTTTTTAATAGTCATAGTTATAATTCTTTTAATCTACCGCTTATTCGTAAGGCTGTCTCATCATAAGAGGATCGAGCAAGACACTTACCTGTTGCTCTTTTAAATGATCATTGTAACCAACTAGCACTAATTTATTAACTTCAGATATTAAGTACACAATATGATAAAATAAATTATGATAAAAATAATATCAACAAAAAGACTATACTTACATTCTTGATGAGCACTAGCGACGTAAGCTAGGTCATCGTAATGTACTAGATCATAACCACCCATATTTGCTAATTCTGCATCTGTATACCCTAGCAGCATTTTACCCCTGGAAAAAAAGGCGAGAACATCAAAACAATTTCAAATCCATCAATGTCAATTCAATTTTAATGTTTATTAGATAAATATTTCTAAAATAAAAGTTCCCTAAGTTACTTCTTATAACATCAGCTATCTGCAAGTTAAAGTCCCGTCAAAGTTGGTCCAGCAGTTTCAGAGATTAGTAAGAACGAACCAAACAGACAATCTTTTTTTAGTTTAAATATTTTAAAGTACCGGATATACTTTTAAATGAATTTAATGTAAAGCTATTGTGTGTCAAAGTGCAATTTGAAATTAAAAAGGGACACTTGATTTTTCTTTATTTGTATAGGTAAATAAAATTTATAGAGAATATAACATTTATAGGTCCATGTGAAGTGACTTTCGTGTGTGTGAAGTGATTTCCGGTATATCAATAATCAATAATATATTTATTATGAATCTTATTTTTGATATCATATCCTTGTCATATATATAATATATATTATTTCGGCTAGTGAAAGATAAAATTGTTTACAATTTTATTACAAAATTATAAAGTTATTTTACTCTTAAAAAATCCTTGTTTTTAGTTACCTTTGATCCATTGAGACTAGAGAAAGATCGAGCTTGTGTTTGCTCTTGAACATGACCTCCTTCTGCGGTATTTCTAGCAGGCTTGGAGGTCCAAACGGTGCACATATTGCGAACAATGCTAAAGGAGGCTCCTCAGTTTTCTTGTTCTGGCCGTGGAGTACTTTGATTCGACCCCGAATGTCTAGCCTCTGTTGAAAAGTAGAATTATCGTTATCCTCTCATTGTATATGAAGATACATAATAACTTCATAATTATACATGAAATTTTAAGAACAGATTATATTCATAACAAGTTGTCCCTTTATTTTGGAGATCTGTGGCATCAACAGACAAATGCGTCCATGTGTCTGTATGTAGACATTAATTCTATAACACTCCCGTCCTTTGCGTCGTTATAATTTACTATTTTTATTTTGGAAATAAATCCATCTTTTCATTAACTATATGCAACTCGGTTATCTATAACCATAACACTAGACAATTCACATAGCATCTTCTAGTCCCAATCTAATGTGAGCAAGGTTGGTATATTCAACAATAAGTAGATCTATTTCATACAAAGCAACCTCAGACCCGTCATCAACGTATTTAGTTTGGACGCATTGTAATATATTGAATTTTAAAATTATACTTACCAAGAAACCTGAAGTGTTATCTAATAAACATCTAAATCGAACAGTGAAACTTCTCTCGAGCAGGTGAGTTCTATCTGGCCTCAGTACATCTTGGAGGGTAAGGTTGTTGACTTCTGGAGGCAGGAAGGAGTTCCAGAGTAATTGACGTTGCAATTCCTCGCGGTCTTCTGAGTGGACCAGCTCGTACACTGATTGGTGGACTATGTCCGACTGGAAAGACAGACAAACGGTTAGTTAGTTTATTAGTTAATTATTATTTAATTAATCACCCCAGCTTCGCACGGGTATACATGTATTATATATACCTTCCTCTGGAATCACTCTATCTATTAAAGAAAACTGCTTCAAAATCCGTTGCGTAGTTTTAAAGATTTAAGCATATATAGGGACAGACAGCGACAGCGACTTTATTTTATACTATGTAATGATGATGTAGTGGAAGAATTGAATTATTTTGATATATATAAACTTATATTTATGAGATGATGATAGTCATACTAATATTATAAACACAAATCTATCTGACTGTCTCTGTTGTTACCTTTTCACGATTTAACGGATTCTTAATGATATTTGGAAGAGCTACCTATTCCCGCGACTTCGTCTGTCTATTATAGGATGGTTATAGATTATCCTTTATCTAACATATGACACTAAATAAATCAAAAGGCGGCTTCATTTAAAGGTTAATCTGTATAACTTTAAATTGTAAGGACTTCATAATTACTAAGATGTGGATAATAGTTGTTTCATCAATTTTTATTTTTCATATTACTATTATGTTAAATATATCTTTTGCTATTTATTGAATCTACGAAATCAAACTTGATATCAAATATTTCATTAAAATCATAAAACATCCAAATATTTCTATAAAGAACAGGATACAAAACTTGTTAATAAGAAGATTAATTTATACCAATAACAATGATATTAAAGCTGAACTAACGACAACCAATCTCAAAGGACAGTATAACAAGGTATTTAATAAATACAAAGAAAAACGTTTCCAAGCAAAAAAAGCAAGTCATCAATCGGACCGTAAATCAATAAAGCACTGATAACCCTAAAAATCGATTCCAACTCGATCATTAAAGAATCATCTGTAACGAAGATGGACGTGTTAATTTCCAAGTCACATCATCCAAACGTCAGCTCTATACTAACCGTATAAAGTTTAAATTAGAGTATACATCTGTAAACATTTATTTTTAACACATCATATAATAAAGAACCGTGTAAACAGTGTGGATAATGCGGCAACAACACATGATGCGAGCACAAAACTAATTGATAATCAATGGGGTCGCTCAAGGTACAACATTGGGACCCCTCTTCGAATGTTGACATGTAAATGAATGATTCAAAAATATACCCGGAAAGTAGATACTGAATGGGGTTTGTTGGCGCACAATGTGAGTTCGAACATATTGCGATGGCACTAAATGTCAGAGGATGATTTGTTGGGTAATTGCTTTTTGTTCTCCATTTTTGGGGGTAGGGCGCGGTTGCTATGGTTAGATTCAATGTTTTGCTGATATGCCTTTGTTTTGGCGTTAGTTGTTGCGTTCGTGGTTTTTTATAACGGTGATTAATGACCTGTATTTTTTTTGCGCATTATATTTTTCTTTTATTTGTGTTCTTTACTTTCTACTTCTGCTTCAGAATATTTGAATTACTTCCGAAAGTCTTATACGTATAATAGATCTTAAGGTATAATGATCCAATACAATTCACACAGTGCTATCTAGTATCTATGGATACCAAACAACTGGCAGAAATACTTTTTTTTGTTTTTGTATATAGCTAGAACAGATCATAGTATTTATAGAAATGTTTTTATTGTTCGAGAATCGAACTTCCGATAAGAACCGCTGGCTCTCAGGGGTTGTTCTGTCAATAACTACTTAACTACACTACTATTTGCTATTAGAAGTATATACGACAAATAAATAAATATATAACCCTGGACAATTAACACAGCATCTAGTCCCACAGTAAGCAGAGCTTATGTTATGAGTACCAGCCAACTGTTATAAATACTTAGATATATATTTTTGTAAAAACATACATAACATACATAGAAAAATCTCAGACCAATACAAACAATCATACTTATGAATACAAATGTTTGCACCCTGCGGGGAATCGAATCCGCAATCATTGTAGGTAAAGCGGTGTGCTAAACCGCTAGATCACCGAGGCCGTCAAATATACATAATATATTGTTTCTGCATTGAAGAATTTTGGTGTGAAGATAGGCGAAAGGAAATTACAGTGTATGCCGCAGTAAAACGCAGTGGGGTCCGAAACGGAGCATTATGAGCCTCATATTCGGCCAGGTGGTCGGCAGTATCGATCGTGCATTATGGTTAATGGTCCGATGTTTTACTGGGGCTCTTTATAAATAGGGCTATAATTAAAGCAGATAGTGTAATCGGATTTGATAAATTTAGGCGCTACGCAAAATTGTCCCCTGTTTATATAAACATAAGATTACTTTCTAAAAAGTTGTATTTAGGTGCGAGATCGTCGTAGCCTACCAGTTTGCTACTACTCCTCCTGTACTTACAATCAGGAGGTTTGTAAGTTGAAGTTTAAATAATAAAATAAAAATACATGACTGTAATCCTAGTCTATATCTAAATATATATAACTCAAAGGTGACTAACATAGTGATCTATCAACGCACATCAAACCACTGGACGGATCGGGCTGTAATTTGGCATGCAACTAGATGTTATGACGTAGGCATTCGCTAGGAAAGGATTTTGTTTAATTTTACCCCCAAGGGGACAAAATAGGGAATGAAAGTTTGTATGAAACTTTCTCAATTTTAAACCGATCGGGTTGAGACTTTGCATGCATAAAGCTACTATGACGTAGGCATCCCCTAAGCAAGGATTTTGATAAATTCCACGCCTAAGGGGATAAATTAACGCGAGTGAAGCCGCGGATAATAGTTAGTATTCAATATAATAATAATAATATCACTCGACAATACACACTGCGCCATCTAGTCCCAAGCTAAGCAGTTGTCCAGCACCCCTAACATAGGCTATGTTAGGGGTGCTGGACAACTGATATGAATATATACATACTTTTTTTGTAAATATATATACATAATATACATAGAGAATATCCAGACCGATCATACTCATGAATTTGATTAGACCATCGAGTTCGTCAATTATTACTGTCGACATCATGGGGTACCCAATACTTCACATTATTTGGGTACCGTCATATCTCGGATCAATTTAATTCATTATCGGTGTCTTCATCAACAGAGAGTCACAATTCCAAATTGATAAATAAAGTATTTTTTCTAGTATCTGTCTGATTCGAATTCACTATACTATTCGGTCTAGGTCGGGGTACACTATTAGCTAGTATACCATGGATACAGTGTGTTTATACACTTATTTCAACATCACCCTATCAACTTACTTCAAAATACACTAAACCTATTGACATTTAGATATTCTGATAATTACCGTTCTATTACGGTAATTTACCGGTCCCCAGAATGTCGACTGACACGTGTCAGACAATACTAGAAGCCAAGTAACCAGCAGATTTAATGATTTCCAAAATCGATTTGCTTTAATCGCAACTAACCCTCCTGGTGAGTTTGGACATAGAGTAAAATATACTACACAGTGCTTCTGAACTAAATTGTAGAATAATTTAATGCCTAAATTTTATAGACAGTTTTTTTGTGTGTTCCTGACGAGTTTTATCGAACTATAATTTTTTACCGTCTATACCGTAAATAAAATTGGAGTGTCTGTTTGTAATATTGAAATAATCTTTTTTTACTACATGCATATGAATATAAATGCGGTACATACACCAAAATAATATTTTTTACAATTTTTGTCTATCTGTCTGTCTGTTTGTTCCGGCTAATCTCTGAAATGGCTGGACCGATTTTTACAATATCAAATAAATACAAATTAAAACATATTATATAATTAATTAAGTTAAACCTATCGTCAATTTGGAATGTAGTTGCAGTCTAAACAGAAACGTCTGCGCGTAACATAATCTTTGACGCTAATGTTACTCAGGTAACCGACCGACCAAAATTGCCTGGTTGCTTTAGACACAAACAAAACCATGCCTGGGGTTGGAAACAATAAACATTATATACGATCGGAGCCGAGTGAAAGTTTTACAACGAGGGAAGTCCGATCAGAGTCTAAATCAACGTTTTTATACCAACTTTTGATACCAATAATTCATAAGGAACTTTATTAGCATTATTAACGAGCGAGATTTAATATATTCGTTACATTTTTTAGGGGTTCAGTGTGCGGGGTTGAATTGTGCGTACCTATGTCTGTTTTAATATTAATACGTTTTTGTTGATTAGTAATATTTCGTTATAAGAAAACTAGCTGAAATCACTGCACTGACGATCTCAGTAGTCTAGTCTTTTAGCACACAGACGGTCGCGAGTTCGATTCTTACCGACCTTCGACTCTGTTACCTTCGAGTACAAACATTTGTATTCATGAGTATGATTGTTTGTATCGGTCTGGACGTTATATATGTATAATATGTACGTATTTACGAAAAAAATTTTTGTGTATTTGTATCAGTTATCTAGTACCCATAACACAAGCTTTAGCTAGCTTAAATTGGGTCTAAAGGGCGCTATAGGAATTATCCTGAGATTATTATTTAAAAAAATATATAATAAATAGTACCCATAATACAAGCTCTGCTTAGTCTAATGCTTAGTCTCTGCGCAATCTAATCCTAAATTAGATTGCGCTGTCTGAATTGTATAGGACGATGGTATAATGATAAGTATATTATTATTATTATTATATGTATATTCATTTATATAAAAGCATATAATATATATGTCAATGTATATACTATTAATGAGAAGTCGTAAAACTAAGTGTTTTAATAATTATTGTATATATCTAAATAAAAGCAATTTCTGTAAGTCAATATTTAGTCATTCTTGTAATGTTTTATATTAATATACATTTACCTTTTTATTGTAAACATTTATTCGTTAACAACAAATTTATTGCAACATTTAATCGTTAATAACAAATTGTTATTAATAACAAATCGTTAATTTTGAATGTATTTGTGAATGAAACGTTATATTGTTGTACCTCTCGGTGGTACTAAGATTTTTTTTTAATATAATTTTAATGGCAAAGCTGACTTCCCACCTGATGGTAAGTGGTAACCGTCGCTAATATAGCACGTATATCACGTTATCATGTCATTCGTGATACCACTATTCTAGACGACTAAGATGACTACCTTGTAATTTCACTACCAAATTGAACCGTACAATTGAAGGAAAGCTTACAAAGCAATTTGTTTGGCGACTGAAATAAGTGTGGTAAATAATTTCCAACAGTCAAAGTTTCGCATTTACAGCAGATTTCATTTTGTATAAATTACACATTAGATTTCACAGTTTTTTGATAATCTATTGACATTTTTTTCTTATGGATGATAATGGATTGGTGCATCGCCTGCGCTAACGGTTTACGCTGGCGGTGCACCAGTGGAGGATGATAAGATGAGCATGAGGTCAGGTCAGTAAGCTATAGATAAATTCATCATGAATTTATCATGATGGTTTTTAAGGGTTCTAAGGGGACCCCCTTGACCTTGACCTCAAGGTCAAGCTGTTATGATACATTGTTAGCAATGGGGTTATAGTGTACATTACTAACAATGCCCCTTCCCTCTATTCTAACCAATTTATTGTTGCAATTACGAATGGTATACCTTAGGTTGTAACTACAACTGTCAAATGATTCCTATAAAATTGTTAACAACGGCCTTACATAATTAACAACATCATGGGCTTCATTATATCTCAATATATAATATTACTAACTGTCCCGGGAAACGTTGTTTTGCCTTAAAATAAAAAAAGAAAATAGGGGTGGACTATCCCTAACATTTAGGGGGATGAAAAATAGATGTTGGCCGATTCTCAGACCTACTCAATACGCTCACAAAATTTCATGAGAATCGGTCAAGCCGTTTTGTAGGAGTATGGGAACGAAAACTGTGAAACGAGAATTTTATATATAAGACGAGAATTTTATATATAAGATTATAAATGGGAAAGTTTGTGAGTATAGATGGATGTTTGTGAATCTTTCACGCAAAAGTATATACGTCAGAAAAAAAACATAGACTATAACTTAATAAGAAATTCCGTAAGTTGGGAAAAATATAATGTGTATAAATGTCAAGAATGATGCAGACGAAGTTATGCGAGTCAGCTAGTGCACATATGAAGGTAGGATAGGATAAGATTATAGGTAGTAAATTCAAGTCTGGTAACAGTAAATTCAGGATTACGTCCCCATATACAGCTGACGAATTACAGGTACATTTTTAGACAAAGCCTCGTTAAATAATACGGCAACTGTCGCATAGAAAGTACTAACTTTTTTAATTACTATATACGGAACATTTAAGCTCTTTAATTGCCAGGTCGCACTTTATTTCGTCCACTGAAATGAGTACGATAAAATGTCACAACGATAAACTAAAGTAGCTTAATAAATGTAAAGCCACGTCTACACAGAAGAAAAAAAATATGATGATAAAATAAAAAACAATAACATTTATTTATTTTTTTGTTTATTTATTTGTCCAATGGTTAGCTGGTAGAGAATGCCATATGGCATTATGCTCGCCAATTGTACATTATTTTAAATAGTGCCTTTTAAATAAAGGATAAATAAATAAATAAACATTATAACACGTAATGTAATCTTCTTTTATTTGTTTGCAGAGTTCAATATATCGCCTATAATTTTGCATATTTAATAATAATAATATTATTATATAGAATATCTTAATTCAAAAGCAATTGCCAATATTTGAATGCCACGTGCGAGCTTACCGCCATCTATCAGATTATATCAGTGATTCGAAACGACTTGTAGCAAATGTGACCACAAAATTTTTGTCAACCAGATTCGAACTCAAGCACTTTGGATCCAAGTCAGGGTAGTAAGTCATATTTACTGTCTTACTTGAAACATTATTAATTATAATTTTTCTTTCTTTCTTTTTTCATAGTCATCTACTAGCTTACTAACTGATGACTTTCTTATTATTTACGCTATATACATATATATGTATTTTTAAATATTTACCTATATTTTCCCTACGTTTCAAATATTTATAAACACATTCAGTGTGAACGTGCCCCAAGTGGCAGCGTTCACTAAACTTATCGCGTCGTAATTGATATTTTTTCATACAACCTCCAGCCGAATAATTAAAATTCTCTGCCCACCATATCTTATTTTTTTGTGATTAATAGTACAGTCATGCTATTTATTTGGTAAATTGCGTTATATTTTACAAGGGTTTGTGTAAATTAATTATAAGGCGAGTCGCTTGCTTAGGAGCTCATTAGGCATATTTCAGTTTCATTGTTACAAAATTATATTATGACGATAACAAAATTAACAGTAAAGTTAGCTAAGGAAATTTTTAGTTAGTTTGAATATATACCAATTATATAGCAATAATATTTTTTCTAAGCTTTTAATCGAGGTTCAGGTAAACTTTGTAAATTTAAAATGTACAAGCATTTTAACAATCAATGTTATACTTACGCTATTCTTATGAGAAATCATTTATTAGACTAAAATTATAAATACCTATACAGCGATATTTATAAAGGATACCATAGGACCAATGGGAAACTCAAGTCGTAATGGGTCACCATTATCACTGAGTTTCGGTTTAGTTTTAGGACTCTGTAATACTGTAACTGAACAATGCGTCTTTAGAATTATATTCGTATTCGAAATTTGAAATTAAATTTGGATTTTATACAAACCAAATACGTACAGTTTATATTCAAATTTCGAATACACTTTTTTGGAAAGTTGTTCAGTTCTGTTGGTATAATTACTGGGTTTTAACTTTTAATTCAGCTTAATCCACATATACCTATATACCGACGAATACTGTGAAAAACAAAATAAAAACGAAATTTTCACCAAATTTTGCAGCTCAATGCTTAAAACAATTAATATTAAAAATAGAATAATAAAAACGCTAAGAACATATTTTTTATTAATTTCAAAAGACCACTGACCTGATGGAAGCCTAGGTAACTCTCAATGCTGTGCGTCGCGAAGAAAACTTCGCCTTCGCACGTGAGTATCATCAGGAAGCCGTTGAGTGCCTGCAAGTATACATAGCTGTATTTAATAATAATAATAACCCTGGATAATGCACACGGTGCCATCTAGTCCCAAGATAAGCAGAGTTTGTGTTATATATGCTAGACAACTAATAGAAATATTTAAAAATATGTTTTTGTAGCAAACGTAATATACTTAGAAAACATCCAGATTGATAGAAATAATTATACTCATGAATAAAAATATTTGTACCGTGCGAAATCGAACCCGCGACCATCAGCAGTAAAGCGGTATGTAACCGTTAGACCATCATTGCCGTCAATGGACGTTTTTAAGCTGGCACGAATAAGACGATAACTTTAAGTTAGGCCAGTACGAATTTATCTGGAATTTATCAAGATGATCTTCAGGAGAAACCTCTGGGGAGAAAGTGGAATTTTAACCTGACTTGGTGAACCACTTATGACAATGGTGTATCATAGATTAAATAAAATGGTTTCTATTACAATATCAATTCAATATAATAATTTCTAAACATATCATGTACCGGAGCTACAAAACTACACACAATAAAAAACGACTTCAATTATTGAAATCTCCTTTAATGTATATTCGTCAATTTAATTCGTAAAATTGACTAAAAATATAACAATACAGATTAAAGGCAACTAAATTGACTAAAAATACAATAATACAAATTAAAGGCAGGCAAAGGCATACAAATTAGGCTTCAGTTATTTTCATTTTACGAATAGCTGCAACAATAACGGCATGTGGAATATCAAAAAGTTTTGATAATAAAACCAATCGCAAACGTTCCGAAATACATACGTAAATGAAGTAATAAAAGCAACTAAGTTTTTCCGGGTAGAGCGAGGTTTCCCCGACTTTCGTACGCGATACGCGATTGACTTACGAAGTACATATATACATTGTATTATGTTCAATATACAGGCTCGTTTCCATTGTTATACGATATTTAAGGTAGTGGATAACGTTCGGGTTTATACGTAATTTAAATTTATACTGTTCTTTGGTATTTACAATATTATCTTCCGCTCTAGTGGTATTTTACAATTTAATTGACTTTGTTATATTAAGAGTATTATAATTTTAGTTAAATATGAATAATTATTTATTTACTGTTAGAATAATATTATTTTTCATTTCAATAGACCACATAAATAATCTTTTTTTTTTCATTATAAACTCTTAATTTTTAAAACCTGAATTATGAAGCATCGTATCAAACTTATTTTACAATTTTGATATACATTTCTTAACAATATTAAAATTTTTAAATTACATCAAAATATCAATAAACTTGTTTTCATAACTTTATTTTAGTTTAGACAACTAAATCTTATATTCAATGTGAACTAAACAATTTCTGAGTTAGTCTATATTTTAAATCGAAAACTTGTCATTATAAGTGGTAGTAATTGAGTCCAAACATATATCAATAAATAGTTACGGTAATTCCGATTTATTTAGCACAGAATATTCGTACGCGTCATGGTTAAAACCGTTATTGTTATCGTATCGTATAGATCTATGGAAACAGGTCCGATACGAAGTCAAAAATATAAAATACGAGCGGCAATGCTTCTTATATTTATTGCCTCACTGGGTCACCGACGCATGATTTATAGCTGTGTGTTCTACAAAATTTATTTATTGCAACCACTGCGCCTACGAAAAATATGATAAATTAATGCATTTCATTCGTCGCGTGCAATGTTACTCGGTAACTACATTGAGAAAATTTCAATCCGAATTTTTCAATCCGAAAAATAACCAAATTCCAGTAATAATTGAAGCACTTTTTGTTACACTGCAAAATATAAAGTTAATTTTTAAATTTTTCTTGGAAATTAGTATTTTAGAATGAAATGTTATATTTTGTGTACAAGGGATATTTAAACAGTAATGGTTTGATGGTCTCGGTGGTCTAGCGGAATAGCACACCGCTTTACTTCCGATGGTCGCGGGTTCGATTCCTCGCACGGTATAAACATTTTATATATATGAGTAAGATTGGTTGTATCGGTCTGGGCGTTTTCTATGTACGAGTATATTATATATGTATTTACAAAAAAAAGTACCTAACACATAACACAAGCTCTGCTGTCCGTTAGCCAAGATGGCGTTGAGTTAATTGTCTAAGAATATTATTATTATTATTATTACAGTAATATTTCGCCTTATTAGTAAAAGGTTTGACAAAGTCTGCACAGTTTTTTTTATTTCACCTATTTGTGATTCATTACAATAGGCTAACTTCATGCTCATCCTATCATCCTTCACTGGTGCCCTGCCAGCGTGTACCGTTAGCTACGTAACTACTATAATCAAGCGGGTACAGCAATATACTATCACCTATTGAAACCCTTGACTTTATCCTCGTCCTGTCCTGTAGTGATGCCCCGCTAGGGTTATTACATAGGATGTTGATTACGTTATTACCTGTAGGAACATCTCCCCATCAGGCATGGCGTGGTCATAAGGTGAATGCTCCCGCCTGTGACCATGGAGGTCTTCCTTCTCTTTGTGCATGACCACTGAAACAAAAGAAGAATACTTTTAAAGATCATGATACAGTTTTTTTACAGAAACAGAGTTTACACAAAGTTATGTGCGTACCCATCTGTCTCACCTATTTCATGTTATCCAGCAAGCAGCTTGTTTTTAAAGATGTTTTACGGTATCTGAGTACTGTCGAAGACCGTGATACAGTTTTTTTACCGCTGTATATGCGTACTTTATATAAAGTTACCTGTGTGGAAATCTCTCACTTATTTTATTATTAGGCAACCAGCTTGCCTTGTAAGCTATGTTATAAAGCAAGCTGGTTGTCTGTTTGTTGTGTGTGGCGGTGAAATTACAAGATATAGAGTGTTCCTGTCAGCTTGCCCATCGTTATTTTTATAAATATTTATATTACTTTTATACTCCTTTTTTATATATGTATATATTTTGACTTTTGTTGCGAGCTCTCTTAGAAAAAATATAACCACACAGCTATTTTTCGTTTGTGAACGAATCAATGAAAAATATGCTATATTATATATGCGGTCAAAGTGATACCGAAATATATACTAGGGAAATTTCTCTACAATCTTCTAAATGAACTTGTTTATCCTTGTCTTGGCCTATTTAGCAGTATTAGCTATTAGTATTCATGCATATAACTCATAGTTAATAGTTTCCTTGAAACTAAATTAAGTTTTAATTAAATTTTTGTTAGACTAATCTGAAAACATATCCTTTAAAATAAAATACAATTCGGTTCACAAATAACATAGGTTTCATATAGCAAAACTTAAAAAAATTACAATCAATTTGATACCACCCTTTTTGACGTCGGTTAAGCATGATTGTAACTAAACAAGATGTTATTTGCCAATACTCGCATTGTGTACAGTAGATAGTCCCCCTCAGTTATGAACATACAGCAATAGTAAACCGGATTATATATTAGTGGCATTTATTCAAATAGCATACAATTGAGCAATTATGGGGCGGGGCTTGTACGACAAATCAGATCTCAGATGCAATAGGGAAGCTGGGGATGAAAGATTTATTATTCAATTATGGACTCTATTGCATTTGTGTTATGGTATTTAGCAGTATATACTCTGGAGAATAGGTATTTTTACACAGAACATTTTTATGGCGTTGTTATGAAAATATCCAATAGTTAGGACTATTAAGATGTTCGTAAAAGGAGTTTCAAAAATAAATAATTTAGATTGACGACCTCATTGGTCTAGCTGTTTAGTACACAGCTTTACTTCCAATGGTCGCGCGTTCGATTCTCGCATGATGCAAACATTTTTATTCATGATTATGATTCTTTGTATCCGTGTGGGTGTTTTCTATGTATATTATGTATGTATTTATACAAAAAAGTCTGTACTCCATAACAAAAGTTCTGCTTAGCTTAGGACTTGATGACGTTGCGTGAATTGTCCAAAGTTATTATTATTTAGTAGAATTAGGATAATAAAATAATTTATATAAAGTTAGAATTTGAATGTTTCCATATTATATTTTTTAAATGAGTTATTTAACTAAATACGTTTGGTAATAAGTTTTCTGGAGGAATATTACAAGGAAGGAAGGAGGAAAACATTTTTTGTTTCAATATTATAACAAAATTTAAGTTGATATAATATTGAAACAAAAAATGTTTACAATTTAATAGTGACGTTATGGAATGTTCGAGAAGAAGTGAAAAATGTATATAAAGTAAAACAAAACAACATCGATGTTCCATGCATAACGTTCCAAATTTGAATTTTATAATTTTATTTTTAAATGTATTATATAATACAAAACAAATAGCTGAAAAGAAGTGAAAAATGTATATGTTTCGTTCCAAATTTGAATGTTATAATTTTATATTTAAATGTAATACAATTAAAAATTAAAATTTTATTTTTAAATGTATTACATTTAAATATAAAATTATAAAATTCAAATTTGGAACTTTATGTATGGAACGTCGATACTGTTTTGTTTCACTTTATATATATTTTTCACTTCTTCTCGGCTATTTGTTTTGTTAATGTGAAATGACAAAGTGTGTCTCTCTATTTGTAGCCTTTCCACGATGGTCTAAAACGTAGCCATGAATATCAATTAAAGGGAAAACATACTTGTAGAAGTGTATATTTACCAACAATAAGACGAGAGTATAAATATCACGAATGTAAAAAGCGTGAAGATAATATCTTGTATTGCTAATTATTGGTTCCGTATGTGATTCGCTTGATTGGTCTCGTTGTAATTCTTATTTCAAACAGTCTGGTACATGCAATGATGACGTTAGTTGATCTGATTCTTTCATATATCATATATATTTTTGGGGGAAATAGTAATAAGCTCATTGTTAGCAATGTATATATGTGCATATATATAAGTATAGGTATATTTTGAAGACCTCGGTGCTCTAGCGGTTTACACCTACATCGCGGGTTCGCTTCCTCGCACGGCACAAACATTTGTATATATGAGTGTGATTGTTTATATCGGTCTGGATACTTTCAACGTATAATATGTATGTAATTATGGAAATAAAAAAAAAAGTATTTGTATTTATGCCTATAGGTATATATATTATTAAAAATATATTCTGCTCAATCCAATGTTTAGCCAATTATCTGGCCGGCTAGTGTATGCTATGTGAGCCAGTGAGGTATGATTATCGACATCGATAGACCTATTGTTCTCATATAAAAAAGACTTCTCAGACTTAAAGAAACAAGAAACAGTGAAAACCATAATGTATTTATATTTACAATTTTTGTATTTTTTTACATAAGTACCAACCTTGTACCAAAGGTTGTAACTACAAAAAATCTAAGTAGGTACATAATTTACGTGTATTTATATCCTTACTAGATTTTCTTTATCAATTATCCAATAGACATAGAAAAAATTTATAAAAAAAAGAATCAGTTGTGAGTGGTCTTTGTAATTTTTTTAGGTTTTACTGTAATCGTATATAATACTTATTCAATAAAGTACAGTAAACAATAAAAAATAGAATGAAATCTAATTATTAATTATTATACTCATTTCATTTTAAACAAGAGTTTTTAATTCAATCATAATAGTGTAATCAATATAAATTAGAAAAAATATATGATATACGAGTATGATGTTCACGCTTGACATAAATAACGTTATGAATATTTATTTATGTGTGTGTTTATGTCCTTATTCATGCCATAAAACTTTTTAATTGGCAATTCAATAGTCTATTAGTTTATTATTTACGCAGTAAACCAACAAAGCGTTTAAATAACAATTAAGATAAATATAAAACCAACAATAAATTCCAGTGAACACAATCGATTTTCCCGCCTTAACTTTTTAAAATAATCGATGTATTGTTTTGCAAGTGCGCCCTAATCGAGATAAGGCGTGGGCAATAGATTTATCGATAATGCCTATCGATACGTCACTAATCGAGGTGGGGAAACTTTATCACCCTTTATGATCATTTCGCCCTTTGCCTGTAGGTGAGTGCATATTATTTTTTAGTTTATTATATTAAACGGGGTAGTGATAGCTTTAGTTTCTGAATTGTAGCAATAATTTAGTGATATTTTATTTTATTTTATTCAGGCTATATATGAATGAATGAATGAATAGCCCATAGATTTATAGACTAATACATATGAAAAATGATTAAAATGTAAATTTAAATCGACTCTATGGTCATGGCACTGATGATGGCTCTCTGCCGGTAGCGCCGATACACCCCTTCGGCCAGTAGTCCTTCTTCATGAATTATGTTTTTTTTTTAATAATCGCTGTTATATTGTGAAATTGGTGTAATACGATTTTGTATTATAGAATTGTAGAATTGTATGTAAAAATGTTATAAACGATACCAACGAAATATTTTTTTTTTGATAAATGACATATCATAATTTTTAGACGATTTTGTTTAAATGAGTTCACGATTGGAATTAAAAATGTCTAGACCAATACAAACGCATGAATACAAATTATTGTATTGTACAGATATTGAAGTCCCGACTATTCAAAGGTTATGAAGTAAAACAAATTTATAAATTGTTATATCTTATGTCATATTGTTAACGTTAGAACTAATGTTAATAAAAAGAGAATCTATTCCTAAACGAGATTTCTTCCAGTAAACCGAATATAGAGTCACATAGGAATTTTTTTCGGACTACTCTAATGCTGTTGGCAGCAGCTGGCCTTTACAGTTTCACCGGGCGATCAATTTTGCTCCTTGCTTTTATAGAAATGCTTGTTATAATGTTAATATCATGAAACTATATCTATCTATATTAGTATATTACGTATCTTTTCTAGAAATAGCGACATCCAGTCATATTTGACTGCCTCCTTAGTCTAGCGATTTGGCATACCGCTTTACTTCCGATTCGCGGATAGGATTACTCGCACGGAGCAAACATTTGTATTCATGAGTATGATTGTTTGTATTGTCTGAATGTTTTCTATGTATATTATAAAAAAACTAAGTATTTATATCAGTTGTCTAGTACCTGCAGCACAAGCTCTGCTTACCGTAGGACTAGATGGCGTTGTGTTAATTGTCCTAGGTTATTTAAAAGTCAAATTTGAATTTGAAATTTTCATGTAGGTCTATTACAGACTCTTATGGTATGTTAAATCTACCGTCAGTTCGGAAAGATTTCAAGATGAAAAGAACTGACAAGAAACTAAGCTCATATGTCTATACGTACAAATACAATTAGATTGTCTGTTTATAATATTGAAATAACCGTTTTTAACATACACCAAAATAACATTTTTTACAATTTTTGTCTATCTATCTGTCTATTTGTTATGACTAATGTCTGAAATGGCTGGACCAATTTTGACGGGACTTTTATTGGCAGGTAGCTGATGTAATAAAGTTAGGTAACTTAGGCTACTTTTATTTAAAAAAAACAATGTTAAATTTCACGCGGACGAAGTTGCGGGTACAGCTAGTTTATTATATAACAATGAACTACCTAATTAACGAAACAGACCGTCTGCTTTTTATTATGTT